TTCTGAAGTATTGAAGTATAAGGACAAAGAAATATGTAACTATCAATAGTTTTGTAATCTATGAGTATAATTCCATAACAGTCACAATCTGGAGATGAAGACTCATTCAAATTAGTAAAAAGCATGTGAGTTCCCAAGACATAAAATAGAAACCCAAGCAAAGGCTTAGGAAATGAAATAGGAAGCTCTATTTAGAGACTAATGCTAACCGAGAAAGTGAAAAGAGTATCTGATTATTGGTATACAACATACAATTCTCCTGAGGTTTCATGATGAATAAAATGAATTGGCACATATAAAAAAATCACATACTCAGTTGTGAAATTGAAAACAGAAGGCTGAGTTTTATGTAAAGATCTTGCAACTTGGATGTCAGCACCAAAGGGCACAGGTGACCTTCCTTGTGGACAGGTTCCAGGCACGCTTATTTTCTCCTATTCCTCTTCCATGAATATCAGCAAGTCCTTAGGGACTAGGGTAACATGCACTGGCTGGCTAATTGGGAGCTCTGTGCATTGAGCACCCAAGGTCCTAAGAATGAGCTGGCATATTCATCCTTGACCCTGCCGTTGGAAATATAGTGGCTGCACTCCCATTATGAGCATCTGCACCAGGAGGCCCCTGCCTGAGTCTGTCTCCAGTCCTGAGTGCACAGCCCAAGGCTCCCTCCATTGCACTCCAGGCAGAAGAGGAGCAGCGGAGCCATCACCCTTGGTCATGCTTCAGTTGAGACTCAGCGCAGCCCAGTAAGTGCTGAGGGATAGCAGGGAAGGAGGTTGGACTCTTAGGAACATTGTTTTCTCCTCATCAGAAGAAAAGTGAGAGTTGGGGTAGACTTGGGGGAGGAAACCAATAAGCAAAGCTTCAGGCCAGAGGACTGTGAAGTCTATGGTCTTGATTCTCATAGGAGTCCCAGATATCTCATTCAGAGTTTGGCTTTCCTCCCGTATTAAGTCTTACTCCTTTGGAATCCTCTTCATGACAGCAGCAAATACATCTCTAAACTGTCCCCTGAACACAGAAACATGATCATAAAGGTGATGATGAGGATTCTAGGGAGCATAACATCATGGGTGTTACTGGGGGCTTCCTAAGTGCCAGCCTCTGAACTCTGTTGCAAATAGGCTGTTTCATTACATCTGCACAATCTCCCAAGTTTTGTTGCATAGAGGAGCTTGGCAATTTTGTGGACATTTATCTGGTTATCAGGTACAATGAATAGAGGCCACATCTTTAAAAAAACAATTATTTTATTAGAAAGTTACAGAGAGGGAGAGACAAGAGTGAGAAAGGTCTTCCATCCATTGCTTCACTCCTGAGATGGCCATACCAGCTGGGGCTGTGCCAGGCTGAAGCCAGGAACTCCATCCAGGTTTCCCTTGTGGTTCAGGGGCCAAAGGACTTGGATCATCTTATGTTGCTTTCCCAGGTGCATTACCAGGGAAATGGATTGGAAGTGAAGCAGCCAGGACTTGAACTGTTGCCCATATGGGATGCCAGGGCTGCAGGCTGAAGCTTTAGTCAATACACCACAGCACCGGCCCCTGAAACCACATCTGAATCAGACACAGGCACACGGCCACTCTACCCCTCTGGTGACCCCAGCAGCAGTTTCACTTTCTGTCCACTGTGCTCTTTCCATGGGCTTCTCTGTCGATTGTGGGCAGTCATGGGTGAAGTGTAGCTGAGCTCAAAGGCTAAGACCACAGGAGCCAACCCTGCAATAACTCAGAGGAGATGGCTCTCCTGACCCCACACCTGGCTTTCACTTCTGCCTCCTTCCTCACCACTTTTGTAATCACTCCTGTCTTCTCAATGAGAGACATAAAATGGGGTGTTGGTTTCCATTTCTGACTGCAGAACTGGAAAGGGATTACCAACAGTCCTCAGAGTTTCCTGTAGTTTAGAACACTGGAGTTATGCTTAAGTTTTTCTGAGCAGGAGGAGATAATGAAGAAGTTGAATACATCAGTTTCATATGCTGACAGTGTAGTATTGAAGCCTATCTGCTCCACACCAAGTTGTTGGCATCTCTGAGAGTCAGCATTGTCATTTGAGTTGGCACCTCACCAAGAGAGCTGACAAACTCTTGTCCTCCAATGAGAGGACTTCAGAATGTTCATGGAAAAATGGAAAGAAAAATATGAATTACTGTTTTTGAAATCCACACATAGATTTTTTCATAATACATTATTTTCCATACATTATAATTTTTTACAGATGCTCTTTTTGTAAAATAAACATATTTTTATGTCTAAAAAGGCTTTGAAGCTTCAATATGGCTCTGAACATGTATTTTTGAGAAGAATGATTCACTCCCTTTCATTTCTGATTCCCCTGACCCTGTACCTTGCTTGGCAGAGTGGAGGCATCAGCAATTAAGATCTCTGTTACACGTTCAATAGACCCTTCCATGGCTCGCAATAACTGGCCATCATCAGTGTGGCTTTAAAACACTCAGTGCTTTCTTGAAGACCCCTTTTCAGGAAAGTCCCACAGAAGTAGAGACCATGGAATAACATGTGTGCATCTCTGTGAAGGACACATGGCTCCTGTAATGACACTTTATAGAATCTACAGAAAATCTTTGTTTGAATATTCAAAAATCAAGGCAGAGCTGTGTTTCACATCTAGCACAAATGCACAGAGAGACAGGGAGAGGCAATCCTTGTGCCAGAGTTGAGGCAGGATCTAGATTTGGATGTCCTTGCAGCCACCAGTATCCTTTGCCAGCATCATTCATCAACAATTTTTTATTTCTGCAATTACAGAGGCTATATTTTGAAAAATCACGATGAGCACATGTTTAAGCTCTCCATTCCCCTAGATGATACCCTGTCACAGATATGGGTGTTATTCTTCCTATGTCCAATGGACAATACCATCACGGGGAAGTGGAGAGATTTACACATGTGTTGGCATGTATTGTAGGTGAATGATGTTGATTTCCTTACTCCCTCCATACAGGAAGCAGAAATAATGTTATGCCAAGTAGAAATAATATTCCCACACATGAAATATCTTGTATTAGGAAAGGATTACTCCTAGATATTACAGAGAAACATTGATGATACATCAAATATATAGTTGATATATATAGATAGATGGTATATCAAATATATAGTTAGTATATATAGTTGGTATATCAAAGATATATTTGATTGTTTTTATTGGGATAGCAAACAGGTGTTAGACAAAACCACATGTGCTTCAGATTTTGCTATTCAACCAGAAATCCTGACTTGTGTGATATGAAGAGAGGGACAAAGATTTCAAAAGCTTGTCATAACAATGCATGTAAAAATTAGATGATGTCCCCCTCCCAGGTAAAGATGTGAAGTAGATGAAATGTTTGAAGTGAATGTACTTCCCAGAGGGGCTGAAAACCCAACTTCAGTGCACCCTAGTCTGTTTCAGGGGTAGTAGGTGTGTATACTAGATACCTTCACACACTTTTCAGGTGAGTTTTAAAGAAATCTATTTAGAAATGCACAAACTAATACTGACATGAAGGAGCATGCATTGTGGTGCAGTTGGTTGAGCCTTGGCTTGGGAAACTCGCATCCCTTAGAGGAGTACCTGGATCAAGTCCCAGTTACTCTGCTTCTGACCAAGCTTTCTACTAATATGCATGACAGACTTGGACAATGGCCCAAGTGCTCAGGTTTGACATCACTTAAGAGATCTGGATGGAGTTCTGGGCTCCAGCCTCAGCCTGAGCTCTTTTGGACATTTGGGGAGTAAACCAGTGGAGAAAAGATACCTCTGTTTCAAATAGGATGAAAAATGACTAACGAAAGATAAAAAGATTGAAGAAAATTTCCTTGCATCAGTCTTCTAGAGCAAAGATCCTTTTCACGGACGAAGAATCTGCACAAGTATGCTTGCATTATTTTCTGGAATTCTCTGTTTTACATTTTTTCTCAGTTCAATCATAGCATCTCCTGCTACAATAATGAACAACAGTTGTCTTAGGACATATAAAGTTAGAGAATTGCAACCTATGGATAAGGAAGATTAATACAAAAATATTTTCTTTATGCATAGGAAGATTGGGACTCAAAGTTGACTTTGTGTGCTCCCTGATACCAAACACTTCAACTGCAAATGAGAGGGTTTATGATCATAAAAGTTGTAAAGCAGCATTACCAGGTTGCTATGAAAAAAAATTTTAAAAATATTTGAATAAGATACACCTCTCAAACACAAGATAATTTACTGAGGTCTTGAGGCAAATACAAAATTTATCTGTTTAAGCTTTTAAAACTTCAACATTTCTTTTAAAAAATCCTTATTTCTGATACCTGACATGTGTAGAAAACACTAATGTTACATTTGTGTTCATTGATTTTTGTATGTTTATGTGCACTTAATTATACCACATTTATCAAAATTTGAACCCCACCAATGACCAGGATAGAAGTTATGGATCACATGGCAGACGGACAGGAGTGGGCACACAACATGGTTAAGATACCCCTCTCCTACTCAGGATTGTCTGAGTTGGATTCCTGGCTATCGTTCATTACTTGGCTTCCTCCCAGACTTGGGAGGCAGTGGTGATGACTCAAGTACGTGAGAGACTGCTACCCATGTAGGAGACCTGGATCAAGTTCCAGCTTCCAGCTTCCAAAGTAGTCCATCCAAAGACACTGTAGGCATTTGGGAGTCAATCAATGGATGGGAGCTCTCTCTCTCTTCATCCATCCCTCCCTCCCTGCTTCCCTCTCGCTCTCTCTCTGTGTGTCTCCCTATGAAACAAAAAGGCAATTTAGAAGGGAAACCAGAAAACCTGAGAATGAGTAAACCTTTGAATGATAACTAACACACGACAGTATTTTCCTATCATGAACGATCAACATTAAGTTAGTGATGACATAATACAGTCTTGGCATTTAGATTGCACTTAAGTCAATGGAATTTCTACCATTGTTAAAATAAGGTATATTTAACTGCTTCTTAATTACCCTTATTTAGAGTATTATCTTTGAAGGCAAAAGGGCATTTTGTATTCTTTTTTATTAGAAGTCTAGGATGTTTCTCTAACTCCATCTGTCAAATAAAAAAATGTCTAGCTTGCATTTGACTGTGTTCATGGACTAGGTAGTTCGAATGTTCTGGGTTTCCTAACACTTTTCAGTTCCGCCAAAAGCCATTCTTTTTATTTTATTTATTCTATGGACTTTAGAGTTACCCTTATGTTATACCCATGACTAGCTGAATGAAAACTATATACAGAGTAACTGTATGCAAACACTATGTGCCCATGTCTCCTTTTTCCATCCCTATCTTCTTTTCCAGAAGGAGCACAGCCTCTGTTGAAACACAAAATCTGACGCGTGTCCTAGAATTCCATCTCGTGGGCTTCTCAGAGGATCCAACCCTGCAGTCCCTCCTGTTTGGGCTGTTCCTGTCCATGTACCTGGTCACGGTGCTCGGGAACCTGCTCATCATCCTGCTCATCATCTCTGACACCCACCTGCACACCCCCATGTACTTCTTCCTCTGCAACCTGTCCTTGGCTGATGTGGGTTTCACCTCCACCACGGTTCCCAAGATGATTGTGGACATCCACACTCACAGCACAGTCATCTCCTATATGGGCTGCCTGACACAGATGTCTCTCTCTATTATCTGTGGAAGCATGGATTATTTGCTTCTGACCGTGATGGCCTATGACCGGTTTGTCGCCATCTGTCACCCACTGCATTACCAGGTCATCATGAACCCCTGCCGTTGTGGCTTCTTGGTTACAGTGTCTTTTGTGGCCAGTCTTTTTGATTCCTTGCTGCACAACTTGATATTATTACCAGTTACCTGCTTCAAGGCAGTTGAAATTTCTAATTTCTTTTGTGACCCTTCTCAGCTTCTCAATCTTACATGTGATGACACCTTCAACCATGACATTGTCATATATCTTATTGGTATCACATTTGGGTTTTTCCCTATCTCAGGGATCCTCTTCTCTTACTATAAAATCGTGTCCTCCATTCTGAGAGTCCCATCCCCAGATGGGAAGTACAAAGCCTTCTCCACCTGTGGCTCCCACCTGTTGGTCGTTTGCTTATTTTATGGATCAGGTTTAGGCGTCTATCTCCGTGCATCCTTCTCCACCTCTTCCAGAAAGAGTGCTGTGGCCTCACTGATGTACACCATGGTCACCCCTATGTTGAACCCCTTCATCTACAGCCTGAGGAACAGGGACATCAAGAGAGCTCTGCAGAGAACTGTCAACAGAATAAGCTAATCTCACTGCCCTTGCCATCCTTGTGCTCTTAGAATTGAAATGGGCAGCTCCAAGAAGTACTGAATCAGTCATCAGGTCACAGCATGTGAAGGCATCTATCATCATCTCCATGTCTTTTGGGCTTCTCTTTCCACAACCATTCCTCTCAACATATGGGATGCTAGCGCTGTAGTCTGGGTCTTTAACCGGCTGTGTCACTCTGCAGGCCCCAGGTTGGAGCTCTTAAAATCACTACTCTACTTTCTACCTTTCTTTAATAAAACCTCACTCATGGTCACTAACCTTAACTACATCGGAAGTGTGGTGCATTTCTCTTCTCTCCCCACTCAGGCCTCAGTGTTTGAGAGACCCCCTTCAGTTCCCATTTCTGTTCACTCATTTTTCCCTCTTTGCCTTTGTCCTGCAGTAACTATTGGACCCATTGCCCATATCCCATTCTCTCCATTAAGATAACTGGATTTGTTTCTGTTTCTTGACTGATGAATACATCATGTCATGGGGCAAAAGGTAAAGGATGAGCTGTGATGGGAGTACTTAAAAATGTACACAAGGGGGCAGTGCAGTTGTGTAGGAGGTTAAGCCTCTGCCAGCAGTACTAGCACCCCATATGGGTGCTGGTTCAAGTCTTGGCTGCTCCACTTCTGATGCAGCTCCCTACTATGGGCTGGGAAAGCAGTAGGGGGTAGCCTAAATGCTCAGGCCCCTGCACCCATGTGGTAGACCCAGAAGAAGCACCTGGATCCTGGCTTTATTTAGCCCAGTTCCAGCTGTTGAAGCCATTTGGTGAGTGAATCCGTGGATGGAAGAACTCTGTTGCTCCTTCTAACTCTGCCTGTTGAATAAAATAAATCTTAAAACTTTTTTAATGTGCTCAAGAAAACAAGCCAGGGACTGCTCTGTGGCACAGCAGGTTAATGCCCTGGCTTGAGGTGCAGGCATCTCATATAGGCACCGGTTTGAGACCCAGCTGCTCCACTTTCAATCCAGCTCTCTGCTGTGGCCTGGGAAAACAGTGGAAGATGGCCCAAGTCCTTGGGCCCCTGCACCCATGTGGGAGACCAGGAAGAAGCTCCTGGCTCCTGGCTAAGATAGGCACAGCTCAGGCTGTTGCAGCCATTTTGGGAGTGAATCATCAGAGAGCACAAGCGTTTACACTTTCAGGAGCTGTGAACACCAAGTAATCTGAGAAATGCATTCTCCACGAAGATGAAGTCTTCCTATATGAGTCAAGGTCAGTCAAATCAAGTCTTCCTATATGAGTCAATGGAGATGTTAGTTAAATGGCTGGTGTGAGAATGATGGAGGGACTCTGCTGATGAAGGCCTGGGGCAGCAGGGTGGGGTCTGCAGAACTCCCAAAATGAGGGACAGTGTCTATTCATATGCCAGTTCCTCTGCTGGAGCTTTCTGCTGAGAGCATGGTGGTGTGATGGGGTTAGGTCTATGCTGGAAAAGGGACTGACATCTCCACAATTTTGTGCTGAGAGCCTGGACATCCACAGAAACCACAGTCCTGGACAACTCCTAATATGATCCCAGTGACCCTGTGATTCTGTGTCTGTGTCACAGCTGAGACTCAGCTCCTTGAGTGCATCCTGTACCCAATGGCTGGCTTCAAATCCATACCAGTGGACTTCAAAAAGTACGTATAAAAATGAGGTTAAATTACAAGTTTGTTTTGATACAAAAATATTTGAAATTCACAGTTTTTCATTATGTGCATTTTCATGAAGTTTTTGAAGATTTCCTCATAGGTAGACATGAATGTCAGTAAGTTTTTGCATCAAAATATGGTGTTCTGAATTACTGAAGGGAAAGAGCAAATTCTAAGTACATAAGCATCAGTAGCTTTCTAATTTCCCAACATACATCAATTAAAGAGAAAAATTAGAATTTTTTGTCTTTAAATAAGCAAAGTCACAAATATCCAACACATACATCCACAACCCTGGCCTGCCACTGCTGTTTTGGGCATATAATGGGAGTGAATCAGTGGAAGACAGCTCTATCTGCCTGTAAAATTAGTTTTATTTGTTAAAATTTATTTTTTTTATTTGAAAGGCAGGGAGAGAGAGTTCTTCCATCATTGATTCACTCCCCGAATGTCTGCAATGGCCAGGCCTGGGCCAGGAAGAAGCCAGAAACCAGGAATTCAATCTAGGACTCCCGCATGGGTGGTGAGGGCCATCACACGCTGTCTCCCAGGGTCTGCATTAGCAGGAAGCTGGAATTGGGAGCAGCACTGGGACTGAAATCTGATATGGAAGGCAGCTTTCCAAGCAGTGTCTTAACTGCTCCACTCAATGCCCACCTCCCAGTTAATTTTTAAAAGTTGCATTTGATGTCAAGGTTCCTTCAAATCCTAAGTCAGAAGTTAGGAGAGTACATGTGACATTTCTCCTGAGAAAGGGAAGGTCCCAGACCTTTCCAAGTACATTACCATTGTCTTCTTGTGCCACCAATACTGTCAGGTCCTCAGAGATCAGGACAGCGTAGACCAATCTGACTGATGATGAGCTCTGTGCATTGGGGTCTCAAGGCTGCAGGAGTGTCAATAACTACCCTGTGTCTCCAGCTGCTCATGTGCCTGTTCTAGTGGATTACAGATCGGTGTCTCCTCCTTCAGAGCCATCATCTGCATCAGGGATCAGGCGTCCATGTCTGACTCTATCTTCTTGCCAGTCTTGAGGACAAAGCCACAGCTTTCATCAAGCAGGGAAGTGGAGTGGAGCAGATTCACCATCATTGGCCATGCCCCAGCAGAGAACCAGAGAAGCCCAGTAAGTGTGAGTCAGACAGTGGTTGGGTTGGAGGAAGGGCTGCAGAGGGCATCTTATCCTCATCATTGGTGTTCACATGTGGCAGTTATGATTGACAGATGGAAGGACACAAACATGTAAAGTTTCAGCTCAGAGAACCATCAACATGAGTATTCTTGATTCTGGTGAGGATTTGAGAAATCTCATGATATCCAGTTAGCTTTCTATTAACATGGTTCTAGCTCCTGTGGGCATCTCTACCACCAGAGCACAAAAGGACAACAGTGACAAAATGTGACAACAGTGACAAAAAGAATGACTGTGACAAAAGTGGCAAAAAGGACAATAGTGACAAAAATCATAACAGTAACCCTAGTATCGGCTAGTTTCCAAGTACCAGGGGCTGAGCTGAGCTTTTTGTTAAAAAAAAAGAAAGTGGTTGTGTCCTTTTATCTGTAGAACCACCTTGGGAAAAAAATGTCCGTTATATTAATTTTGCAGGAGAGAACAGGTGAAAGCATTTTAATGTAATTTTTTACTTTTTAATTGATATATAAAAAATGTGTGTGTTGGACAGGTGTTTCATGCAGTGGTTAAGACTCCACTAGGGCATCCATATCTCACCTATTTTTCACTCTGAAGGGCTGGGTTTGAGTCCTGGTTCTGCTCTCAATTCCAGCTTCCTAATAATGTGTATGATGTGAGGCAGCAGTGATGGCTCCAGTACTTGGGTTCTTGCCATACATGTGGGAGACCTGACTGAGTTCCTTGATCCTGGCTTGGGCATGGCCCAACTCTGCTAGTTGTGATATATTTGGAGACTGAACCAGAGAGTGAGAAACCTCTCCTTCTCTCCCTCTCTCTCCCTTTCAAATAAGTGTTTCAAATAAGTGTTTTAAGCAGACATATATATGACACATGACACAAAGATATTTAAAATATTATTGGGAATGAAAACTTAGAAAACTGTATTTATTGCATAATAACTTAGGTCAATTTTCTAGAAGAGTATGGATACATAAATAATACTACTAATAAACACTGAAAGGGAAATATGTGCAAATTCATGACAATGTTTGTGTTTGTGCAACTGAAGTACAGTGTATCCTTGCACAATAATTGTGCAAGGATAGAAAAAAACCTCAACATTTGATGAGTTCTTAAATACTATTAATGATTTCACATATTTTTAAAAGATTTTATTTATTTATTTGAAAGGTAGAATTATAGACAGTGAGAGGGAGAGACAGAGAGAAAGGTCTTACATCTGCTGCTTCACTCCCAAAATGGCCTCAATGGCCTGAGCTACGCCGATCTGAAGCCAGGAGCCAGGAGCTTCTTCCATGTCTCCCATGTGGGTGCAGGGGTCCAAGGACTTGGGCCATCTTCTACTGCTTTTCCCAGGCCATAGCAGAGAGCTGGAAAGGAAGAGGAGCAGCTGGGACTAGAACTGGTGCCCATATGGGATGCAGGCACTGCAGGCAGAGGATTAATGCACTGCGCCATGGCACCGGCCCATGATTTTATATTTTAAAAGTGGGTGGCACAGTGAGTTAAGTTACTGCCTCTAATGCTGGCATCCTGTATGGGCACCAGTTTGAGTTCCAGACACTCCACGTCTGATACAGATCCCTGCTAATGTGCCTGGGAGGCAGCAAAAGATGACCTAAGTACTTGGGTAGCTGCCACCCATGTGGGAGATCTGGATAGAGTTCTAGGCTCTGTCCTGTCTGTTCCAGCCCTGGTTGTTGCAGCCATCTAGGGGGTGAACCAGCATATGGAAGATTTCTCTCCTGCATGGGGAGTTAGTACAAATTCTGTCAGTATTTAGACAAGGCCATAAGCAAAGTGGCAGTTCTCTCCTCCCTTCAGAGAAAAGCACATCCTTCTTTGATGGGGATTTCTTTCCAGAGAGGTTTCTCTCACTTAGGTCCTTGATGTAGGACATTTTTTGCCACAGTATCTTGGTTTTCCATGCCTGAAATACTCTCATGGGCTTTTCAGCCAGACCAGAATGCCTTAAGGACTGATTCTGAGGTCAGAGTGCTATATAAAGCGATTGCCATTCTATGAGTCTACTATATGGACTGCTTCCCATGTTGGAACATTCTCTCCTTTTTAATTCTATTATTATTACCAGGCATTTGATCCTATTTATATGATCACTTTAACACTTAATCATATATAAATGATCACTTTGACACTTAATATGATCACTTTAACATTTAAGATGGCATTTTTTACCACCCAGTTTAATGGGATTTGGGGCCCCATGACAAGTTTTTAAACTGGACCCTTAGAAGTAAGCCCGTAGGAATGTATGCAGAACTATACAGCTTTACAGCTACAAACTTCCTCCTCACTGATACTTCCCACCCTATACTCCTCCCTCACTCCCACCATCTTTCCTTATTTTTCTTTTCATTTTTAAATGACATATTTTCAATTTGCTTTATAGTCATAAGCTTAATCTTTCACTAATAAAAGATTTCCACAAGGAGTTAGTAGAAAGACCACTGTTCCTCAAGAGTATAGACAAGGGCTTTGAATAATAATAAAGTCTCAAGATGTCGACTTCACCCATATACATTACATGTAACCTGGTTGTAGTCATCCATTTTTCACCTGTTCTCAAGAGGGTGGGATTTGATGACAATAGCTCTTAAAGAATGTTTAGCATTAGAGATGAATTTAAGAAGTTTTACCAAGCCAAGGCAAACCACCAAAAGCAAATTTAACCTCAGGTATTTCCTTGAGATTATGTAGCATTGCAAGAAAATAACCCTGCTATAATGAAAAC